TCAGACTTTCCCGTCGTATCACGAATAGACGTAACGGTCTGCGCGAACACTGCGCGATCCGTCTCGTGCAAGCCTACGCGATAAGCCGAATAACAAAGTTGTTGCCCCTTACCTCAAGTGGATAGGCTCAGAAAAAAAAAGAAAATCAACTGCATGATACGAAAGGCTTTTAAGAGAGCTATCGGCCTCCCGATCAACGCGAGTATCGTAAGATTTCTACAGCTAGGACTTCACAACTCACTCGACGATTTAATTGAGGCCCATGACGTTGCGCAATACGAACGCTTAACAAAATCGAAGACGGGTCGACACATCCTTGAGTCGCTGGGCATCAGATATTACACTCAGCAAGGAGAAAAGATGCAGCTCTCTGCTTCAGTCCGCGACCGCTTGATTGTTCCGCCGATTCCAAGGCATACGCACCCGACGCATCACTTCGGACGGCGTAACGAGCGTGCTAGACAGCTTCAAAAGAAGTTTGGTAACAGTACGGACATGGTATACGTAGACGCCGAGAGATATGGAGAAGGGAGAAGAGCACACGCAACTGTGGTCGTTGACCATCAGGGCCTCGCGAGTGCCAAGGGGACGACAGGACACACAGAGGCGGCCGAAGAAGCCGCGATAGCCTTAGCACTCGCCGCAGCGCCGCGTGCAGAGATTGTGATAGGCGACCGCAGTTTCGCACGCGGCCGTGTCTCGCGGGAAGCGGCACGCACCCTGCAAATCTGCGGAGATGGCGACTCGACGTCGCCCTCACAACCTCAAACTTAAACAGTTTTCCTCCCGTGGACCCCGCCACACACCAGCGTTCTGCTGGTGGGGAACGAGGCGGCCCACGCCGCGGCTCGAGATCTCACTCACCGAGCTGCGGCCGCCACCTCTGACTCCGAGAGCGGGGCGATGCATTTGCTGAATCAAGACACATTGGTAGGCACGCAGCAACAAGATTCAGAATGGTCATGGGGTGATCGTCTTACAACGTTCCGTGTCATCGCTCAACTCTATAGGCTCGAAAGGCGTAGGTTACCGCCACCGCAAGAGAAATGAAACAGGCGCGATGCCGAAAGCTTTCGCTATGTCCAGAGCAACTCCTACCCTAGCCCGGTCGTTCTACGCCACCTCTACCCAAACCTATACCCCACCGATATGTGTAAAGCGTGCGGGCACAGAGCAATGCTGAGCCACGTGCTCTGGGAACGTGCCAGCGACAACAGTCGTACCAAATCACAGGGAGCCTCAAGCTCACTCGTTCCTGCCACCGCTCCGGCTGCGGGACCACGGGGTACCTTCTTCGTCGGCGTCGCCACCACTGGGAGGTGGTTCTCCAAAGCGCAGAGTTGAATGACCACCTCTGGGCCGTCCGGCAGGCCGAGGATGCCGCCCGAGTCCAGGGACTACGAGTCGCCACCTAAAGCCACCGAGACCAAATTGCCGGCTCATTGTGTCCAATAAGTATTTTCTCTCTCGGCAGATCCCACGTACCTTGGGAACCGATGTTATGCGAAGCATGCGGTTGCAAAGTGAATATGTTGTAATTTTTTTTAGGAAAACGGTATGAAGTGGCGCTCGATAGATTCACAAATCCACGCACACACATGCGTTAAACAGCCGCATAAGTTTTCTATTAGCAGTCGTTTACAGTTGCGTAACAATGCCCACAGCAACGTGGATAATAGCAATATTAGAAGCGGTAAGCTGATACGAAGCGCTGGTGTTTCCACTGGGGCTGTCGAGGATAGTAGACTGTGACGCTGCTACACAAATCAATCTCACTTGATGGCGCCTATCTTCAACTGACGTTACCTGGTCATGACGGCTGTGTCCTAGGAGTACATATGTCATGTTCATAAAATTGAATAGCCGGTACTGCTACCACACACGTTTGACAAACATTAGGGTCTATTTGTGAATAATTTCCAAGACCTGACATGGCAATGTGCTAGCACACTTGATTGACATGCAGAATGATATACGAGTAAATTCGTGCTGGGGCACTGACATTTATTGTTTGCATTCGTCCGGTAAACATTGCCTATGTCAGCTTTTCATCAATGCTCAAGTGTTAAAATTACCGATGTGTGTTCTTGCCTTCCTGGGTAGGTATAAAATGTATATCACCTGTGGTACATTTTTTATTTATTTATTTGTACATACTGCAGGCCCTAATCGGGCCCATGCAGGAGTGGATACATTGAGGTAACATGAGACATAATAATGCTCAACAAAAAGAAAAGAAAGAAAGTATTGATACACATAGGATATTTTATGATTCCCATGTATACAATTTTAGAAAAATCAATCTCTTCTAGACAGTTGACAAAAGATTCCAGCGTAGAACAATTCACAGCATTGACTGGCCGCCTATTACAAAAACTAATGGCCATTTGGAAAAAAGAATACTTATGTGTATTGACACGGCTAGCAGGTTGAAAGATGACCTTATTACGGTTTGTCCTAAGTGTTTAAATGGGTCCTGTAAGTACAGATGGCGCGGTATCTTAAAATGACCGTGATAGAGTAAGTATAGGACCTTTAACCTAGAAATAATTCTTCGTTTGGAAAGTGGCTGAAGATTCGTTCTATTAGTCAGGTCAGTGACGCTTGAATGCCGCCAATAATTAGAGTAGATGAACCGTGCAGCTAATTTCTGAATTCGTTCAATTTTGTCTATTAGGTGTTATCGGTGGGGACTCCATATTATGTCGGCATATTCTAAGGCAGCGCGAATAAGAGCCTTGTATGCATTTAATTTGACTCTGGCCGGAGCATTTCGCAACCTTCTTCTGAGAAAGGATAGCTTCCCTACCACTTTTTTGCAGACGGTGTCGATATGAGGTTCCCATCTTAAGTTTGCTAAAAGCGTGACACCAAGGTATTTCACCTGATAACTTTTAGGCAGTTGAAAATTTTCTAAAGTGTACGAAAAATCAAGCGGATTCTTCTTATTAGTGAATGTGAGACATTTGGTTTTAGATGCGTTCAGTCTCATGCCCCATTTCTGGCACCAAGCGCAAATATTTTTAGAGAGTTATTCAAGCCAATTTGTTCCTCTGAATGTCTTACAACTGTATACAGGACACAATCATCTGCGAAAAGCCGCATCTGGATTGGTGACTGGATACAAAATTGGATATCATTGATACAAATAAGAAATAGTAGAGGCGCAAGGACTGAACCCTGTGGTACTCCCGAGTACGCATGGACCCATACCCGCGTGCTAGTGGCACAAACCCACCCCGGGTATGTGCCACTGTTTTTTGGAAAAAGTTTGACGACGTACGTGACAAGATTGTGACGTTATTCATGTCATTACCAGTGCGCCATATTCTCCAAGCCATCTTACCCTGCCGTTCTAATTTTGGTGCACATCAAGTTAAGTGAGTGATCATGAGAGCACCCAGACGTAAACGGCTCGATAGACAGACAGACAGACAGACAGACAGACAGACAGACAGACAGACAGACGGACAGACAGACGGACAGACAGACAGACAGACAGACAGGCCTGGCAGGCCAGGCACATAGATAGATAGATAGATAGATAGATAGATAGATAGATAGATAGATAGATAATAGATAGATAGATAGATAGATAGATAGATAGATAGATAGATAGATAGATAGATAGATAGATAGATAGATAGATAGATAGATAGATAGATAGATAGATAGATAGATAGATAGATAGATAGATAGATAGATAGATAGATAGATAGATAGATAGATAGATAGATAGATAGATAGATAGATAGATAGATAGATAGATAGATAGATAGATAGATAGATAGATAGATAGATAGATAGATAGATAGATAGATAGATAGATAGATAGATAGATAGATAGATAGATAGATAGATAGATAGATAGATAGATAGATAGATAGATAGATAGATAGATAGATAGATAGATAGATAGATAGATAGACAGACAGATGTCAAGTGCTTGTACATAGTATGCAAAGAAATGCTTCGCACTTAAAAATTGTGTAAATAAGTGGGTTTCGGTCAATGATCAATTACAAATGCCGGGTCACCTATGTGATAAACGTAAGTGATGCACCGAAAGAATAATTGTGCATAATTTGAATTTATAATTCTATCCGAGGTCGCTGTCGCTCATGTTTCGGTGTTTTAGCTGAGTATTATCACTTAATAATTGCCCTGATTACATTCAGCTCTTCTCGCATACGGATGGTGGTTAATGCATACACCTTTAGGAGAAATGAAAACAAATTCGCTTTGTACGTAGGGAAAACCTTCCGTCGAAAAGAATAAATAAAGGATCGTTATCGCATACGCTATACCACCAGTTGTCTTTTTAATTAGTGAATGGGATAGGATCGCAAGGTGAGAAGAGAGCTATATTTACGTTAGAGGGGCCGCTTGTACGCGTAGGCAGTCTTTTAGCACTTGATTGACAACTGCGCCTTCAAACACTGTGTACGTAGAGGCGGGTGATTATAAACAAGCATAAGCAACAAAGATAAGTTCATACATCAACTTGAATTTACTTCATCTCCTCACATTTTGTTTAGCAAAGTGTGCTGAGGAGATTTCTAAATTTCTTGTCATTAAGCTGACAGGCTTCCTCAGGTGCTGATTGGTTTTGTATTCTTGTGAGCTAGTTCTCAGCGTATCTTCAACAGCTGTATTCATGTGCATGCGCCTTACTCTATGGGTATCTGTAAGGAGCACTAGTACAACGAAAGGCTGTGGAAATATTTGAAGTCGTGATGGCACACAACTTCAGAGTATCAAAGTTAATCTTTGCACCAAATATATTTTGTGTTACTCGACCACGTTTCTATGTGACGTAGTTGGAATAATGTAACTCCACTTCAACCGCTTTATTTTCCTATTTAGAGAGATGAGGCCAAGTTGTCGCTAGTATGTTTTGTCTTCTTGCTATTTTTATGAACACCGAATTGCTTAGCCGAAATATTTCTAATTACCAATATGTCACATGTCGACGTTTGAAAGTTTTGCATGTGCACCTTTTAGAAAACGCACTTCCGGCGCGGGTTCATGTACGAGCCGCGACGACATTGAAATGCGCGGTTGAAGCTGATCGAGTGGCGCAAAGGTCCGTTTACGCGGTATCTGGCGTGAGCCCGGCGACCGTGGCGCAGCAGTTGGTCTTCGTACGGAGTGTCGTACCTCTCGCAGCGGTTCAGCGCGAAGTGTATGAAGAAGAGCTGCTCATTACTGAACGGCAAACCGGGCAGTGTACCTTCTCTACTGGTACCGATGAGCCGACTATACGCTCGAAAAGACGCCGCGACAGCCAGCAGATCGCGCACGTCCTCCCGAGCCGTACCATTGGACGAGAATGGCACCGACGTAGCCTCGCTCATGGACAGCCGGTCCTCGCGCAAGCACGATTCAGTCACTGCGAAGCGGCCATGCAAGTCAGTGTAGTTGGAGCGTAGCTGAAATGACACGTCCCGGAACACGTCCAAAAGAGCGGCGCTCAATTGGAGCAGCAGGCGTGGAAGGTGGTACTCCCAGAAGGCCTCTTGATGATACGCCCCACGCATGGCGCTCAGAGGCACGAACAGCGTGCCGTCATCGAGCACGCGACTTTCTGTCTCGAATAAGTCGAGCGGGTAGTCCGGAAAAGGTCGCCGACTGGCCGCCAGGCGACGGCGCTGACGCTGTGCCACCATTTTCCGGAACACGTCGACTGCTCTAAGATTAGCCGAAGCGCAGTTGAATGGACGGCACTGAGACGTGCGGAATGCGAACTTCGACCATTCGGTCGGGGTGAAGAAAGCTGTCTTGAGCGTCTTGATGCGGTGTTCTAGCTTGGCCAGGAACGAAGCCGTCACCCAAGACATCTCACCGAGGAATTCGAGGACATCCCTCTTGGCGTGTTCTGCCACGCTCTTCAACACTGGCTCGTTCTCCTCGTGTTTCAACTGGATGGCCAGCAAGTAAGCCGCGAGTCCTGGTTCGGCTCGCGCCGCTACTATGGTGCAGACGTGGCTGCGACGCTCACCCCAGCCGTCCTCCCAACCGACCGTCTGTGCAACTGCCACGTCGTTCAGCTTGCGAAACCGCTTGCCCGGAAACATCGGTGCATATGCGAGCGCTAGTCGAAACCCTAGATAGTTGAGCACGAGTGCTGTCTTCGTGGAAGAGATGAGCCCGAGCAAGCCAACCCCAATTCGCTTCGGTTCATACGTGACTTTGGTAGCAGTCGTAATCGTACGGATGCTGAACACCGCGTTCGTTAGGAATTCTGCCCAATTCCACTCTGCAGTAGACTCGACCTCTTTGAGGGACACTGTCACGAACTCTTCGGCGGGTGTGCTGAGGAGCGCCACGAGCTCCTGCTCGAAATCGAACAGCTCCGGCATGGGCATGTGGGCAATACGGCGAGCCGCATCAATATACCAACCACGATGCGCGTTGGCCACATAAACGAAGTCCGGGAAGAGTGTTCGTGCACCATGCAGCATGATCCCGCTGTCCGTTAAGCTTACGTGCACGAATGGCGAGATGCCGGTGATTCGCAGAAGCCTTCCAGCAACAGCGGCGGAGCTGGCGAGGCTCCAGGCATACGGAAATCCGTTAAGGCCGACGCTGTCGAGGATCTCTTGGAAGACCAGCTTTTCTGAACCAGAGGGAGAGATGTTCAGGCAGGCTTTGTACAGGTCGAACATGGCGCGGCTACCCGTGTCTTCAGTGCCAGACGCTAGCATGGCTGTCAGCTTCTCTTCTAATTCACGCGTGCTCATGATGGCCTCAGAGTACACGGCCTCGCCTTGTAGTTGGTACGTGGCACTCCAGTTCGCGCAGACGTAATCGTAGAAGTTGTCGCAGGGATCACCATCTTGGAGAGACTCTGCAATGTACCTGAATCAAAGAGAAACAAAATCACTGAAAAAGTGATCAATAGAGATATTTTCACATTTAAGAAGTGCTCCTATACTTACGAACTGCTATAAATAAGTGTGAGGTGAAAGGTTTCCACACCAAATACGTCGAAGAAGTTGGAAAAAGTAATGCGATAAAAAATAAATTTGTTGTGTTTGACGGACTAACACGTGGACATGCAAAATATTACTATTTCACCGAAGTTCTGTACTGTGCAAATGAATGTAACTATGCTTGTTTTTGTTGTTTTATTCTTCCTATTTGCTGTCTGTTAAATGCGGTCACAATTGCCGAAAGTCGAACCCGCTTTCTCGAGCTTAGGTGTGCAGCTCCTCTACCTGAGCTTCCGTGGTGGCTGTTCCTGACCATAGAAGGATTGTTTTCCGTTCTCGACAAGAACTTAAGCATATTCCATTTGGTTGCCATAAGGCATTTTGTAGAAAAGAACAGAGTGGGTCAGGAAACAAGCGGGTGTTAAAAACATCATAGACTTTGGGTTAAGCAGACTATGGTGGCTAACCACGGTGAGTGGTAGCTATATACGCAGCAGGTGTAACAGCAGTTAATCTCCTAATTATGGTTATCGCAAACCGAGCTTGGCAAGCGCCGTTTACTCTAACGAATCGAGACGCTGCGTTATGGCGGGCGAGCTTCGCACCAGCCTTCGACGGGCGCAAGCTCATCGGTAGCACGTCGTTGTTTACTAATTTTCACGCAACGTGGCTCCTGGGAGTCCGCGAACAATAGTGAAGAAAATCTCGTGGCAAATTATACCTTCGCCGTGGAATGGCTTGTACCAAAGATTATTCGGTCCTCGGAGAGATTAGAAAGAAAGTATCACTACAGGTTTCTTGCGGGGCGAATCGTGTTTCGCATGGTTGGTGTCTGGGTCTTCACTCAGCTTCAGACACTGAATACGCTGTGGGAGCTGTAACGAATCAATAAACCATCTCCAAGGTGTACAAAGGTTGTCTCGTATCACGAAACTTCTCGATGACTACATGATCAGCACAAGATTTCATCAGCTTGCTCAACTTAATCAACTGAGCATGTATGGCAATGGCAAGTCGCGTTCACATTAACTTAGGTTGGTGTTGTAAATCAGCGTTTATCATAACCACAGTTAACGCTGTGGGTGTGACAAAGATATAGTAGTAATAATAAAAAAGAAATTGGCAGGGCATGTAGTGAATTAGATAAACGCTCGTCATTATGAGTTGCAGAGTGGGGACCAAGAGAAGGCATGCACGCAAGGGTAAGACAGAAAGTCATATAGGCAGCTACGGCAGTCTACCGGTATAACAATCACAGGACCAGGTTATTTGGTGAAACATGGATGAGCTTTTTCCGCTGATATCGGCGGGGTTACGTTGATGAGAACCATAAGTACGACGACCATATTTTAAGAGGAACTAACAATTACCAGCAATCAGCAGCGTAAACGCACCTGGAAAGATGGCGACAGCTTTCGCCGACGCAGCTCGGTGCCGAGTCCCGACGACCCTGCTGTAATGGAGACCACGTGGACGCACGTCCTCGCCGGCCGGATACCAGCAGTCCCCTTGAACCTGCTCCAGAGCCGCTCATTATTCTCAGCAAGGCCAGTGATGCGCCGATGCCAATGGCGACCACGCCCAAAGCACTGCAGACAACGCAAAGGCGCCAACGAAGAGGCTGAGAACGAGGTGGAAAGATGGACGTGGTCGCGGGGGCCGCCCACGGCATCGCTGAAGCTTGACCGCCACCGGACATCTCTGTCTCTCCTACGTTTTCTTTAGCTTGGTCGCGCATAAGCTAGATGATGATGGCGGCGACATCCTCTTACTCATGGCAATCACCCACAAAGGGGCCGGGAGCAGAAACCGCGTGGCAGGGTGTTTAAAGGGATTGTCAACCACTCGAGAAAATTATTAGGGGCGAAGCTCCTAAGACCATGGGTCTGTCCATCCCTTCTATGTATGTATGTATGTATGTATGTATGTATGTATGTATGTATGTATGTATGTATGTATGTATGTATGTATGTATGTATGTATGTATGTATGTATGTATGTATGTATGTATGTATGTATGTATGTATGTATGTATGTATGTATGTATGTATGTACGTACGTATGTATGTACGTACGTATGTATGTACGTATGTATGTATGTATGTATGTATGTATGTATGTATGTATGTATGTATGTATGTATGTATGTGTGTGACCAACTAACTAACTATTCGACCTTTGCTAACTGTCCACTACTTCATCTTTGCAAACATCCCACTACGCCCCATCACTGATCCACCACTTGACCGACCATAAAGCAAATACCGTTGAGAAATACCCAACAAGAAATGCAAGATGGTTGTGTACTTGTATCCAAGTGCGCGTTCAAAAACCATAGATTATTCCACTGTATCCATCCCTTGTTTCTACATGACCACCTATAGTTTCACCTTTGCAAACTGCTCACAACTTCGTCCTTGCAAACATTCCACTATGCCCCATCCCCGATCCATTACTTCACTGACATGAAGCCGTTATAATGAAGGGGAACAGATGCGACGTAAAGCTACTACTTCATCATCATCATCATCATCATCATCATCATCAGCCTGACTACGTCCACTGCAGGACAAAGGCCTCTCCCATGTTCCGCCAGTTAACCCGGTCCTGTGCTTGCTGCTGCCAATTTATACCCACAAACTTCTGAATCTCATCTGCCCACCTAACCTTCTGTCTCCCCCTAACCCGCTTGCCTTCTCTGGGAATCCAGTTAGTTACCCTTAACCACCAGCGGCTATCCTGTCTACGCGCTGCATGCCCGGCCCATGTCCATTTCTTCTTGATTTCAGCTATGATATTCTTAACCCCCGTTTGTTCCCTAATCCACTCTGCTCTCTTCTTGTCTGTTAAGGTTACACCTACCATTTTTCTTTCCATTGCTCGCTGCGTCGTCCTCAATTTAAGCTGAACCCTCTTTGTAAGTCTCCAGGTTTCTGCTCCGTAGCTAAGTACCGGCAAAATACAGCTGTTATATACTTTTCTCTTGAGGGATAGTGGCAATCTACCTGTCATAATTTGAGAGTGCTTGCCAAATGTGCTCCACCCTATTCTTAATCTTCTTGTTACTTCAATCTCGTAATTAGGCTTCGCGGTTATTACCTGCCCTAAGTGGGCATAGTCTTTTACAACTTGAAGTGCACTATTACCTATCTCAAAGCGCTGCTCTTTTCTGAGGTTGTACATTAGTTTCGTTTTCTGCAGATTCATTTTAAGACCCACCTTTCTGCTCTCCTTGTCTAACTTCGTAATCATGAGTTGCAATTCGTCCTCTGAGTTACTCAGCCATGCAATGTCATCGGCGAGGCGCAGGTTACTAAGGTACTCTTCATTAACTCTTATTCCTAACTGTTCCCATTCTAGGCTTCTGAAAATTTTTTGTATATATATATATAAACAGTGTTTGTCACGTTCTTGTTGATGTAATGAGCAATATTCGTGGATGGTTCGCGGTTTAGTGATGAAAATCTCCAGCGCTAGCCCCACTCATCATCATTCGCTCCGTGGATATGCTGTCATTTTTCTGATAGGGGTGCAAAGGAGAATATCGCTCACCACATCGGCGGCGAAGAGCGTGCTTTTGTCTCATAGAAAGGAATCATAATTTTAACTTCACGTTAAAAGTCGACAAAAGATGACCGCTAGCGTCATCTAACAATGACGTGGTCGCTCTACTGATATATCTAAAAATGCCAGCAGCAGATTGACTCTTTTGTTTGTGTAACTTGGAATTGTCTTTTGCGCACTTGCTCTAGGTTGCGCCAGAGACCAATTTTTGCTTTCTTTGTTTTCCTCACGCGTTCGAAGGGGCGCGTGAGGGCCCTGCCGGCAAGGCTTTTTCTTGACCGTATCCCTGCCTGCAAACGACGTAGAAACGCGATCATGGTGTCCTCCACCGCTCATAAGAACAAAAACAAAAATTTTGTGTGCATGTCTTAAACGACCACTAAGGTATTTAATGAACCCTGCAAAGGCTTCATCCCACTTGATGAAGCCTGCAAAGACCACACAAGGTTTCAGTTTTCGACTTTCACCCGCAGTACAGCTGTCATCTCTTCCCCCGACCAGTGGTGAGGGCATTCATCCCACCGATGGAAGGAGACCGAATTCAGATCGAAAGCTCTGTTTAAGAATTCTACACACTTTCCAGAGAAACCACTGCAAGTTCAGACACTTCGCATTGTACGCTTTTTACTGCGATTGAAAACAGAAAACAATAAAGGAATGTAACTATTCACATTAAGGTAAAGGCCATTGACGCTACAGGATACTGACAACTTACACAAAGATGAAGCATCGAATAAGTTACATGCGTACGCAGCAATGCATGAGAGCACGCTAAATACAGCGGGATTACTAAAATAGCAAATATAACTAACAGCAAATATAACTATTATAACTATTATAACTAAATATAACTTTGGAATAAAATTTTGCTTTCGTCGTTGCTGTCGCCGTCATATCGCCGATTTGTATATGTGCTTGTATATGCAAAGGAGGCTTAAAGAAAAATAGATTTTCAGCTACAATAATTTTTTAAAGCAACATACCGGGATACGAACCAGAGACCATCACTCCACAGCCTACTGCCCTAGTCAACACAGCCACCCGCCATGCCTGTGCCATTGGTGTAAAGGCTTTCGTCGCGGCCGCTCCTCCATTGACTGTGTCCTTGACTTATCGACATTTGTTCAACAAGAAAAAAGTCGCAAGCGCATATCAGTGGCAATCTTTCTTGACGTGAAGGGTGCATATGATAATGTAGCTCACGATGCCATCCTCACTTCTCTCGCAGCAATGGGCATTGGTGGACGAATGTTTCAATGGATAAAAGAGTATATAACTGGCAGAAGTTTCTTTGTACAAACATATGAGGGTACAACTGTCCAACATTACACCTACTGCGGAGTACCTCAGGGAGGTGTTTTAAGCCCCACATTGTTCAATGTGGCCCTCATTGGTCTGGTGAAGGTTCTGCCAAAGTCGGTGCCTATCCATATACGCCGATGATATTTGCCTCTGGAGTGCTGCAGTTACTCGCCCTCAGGTGCGTGCACGAATACAGCGGGCAGTAACCCTCACAACAGCCTACCTTCAGAAACAAGGCCTAAATATATCAACTGTGAAATGCGCGTTGATGGCGTTTACACGCAAACCAATGACGCCATACCCTGTTTACATCAATGGGCAGAGTGTCAAATATGCACAGACGCAACGTTTCCTTGGCATAATAATCGACAGAAGTCTTTCGTGGAGCCCACATTGTGCGTACTTGAAGAAGAGACTGCTATCTATTGTGCATATCATGAAATTTTTGTGCGGTAAAGCATGGGGAACCTCTGTCGCCTCCATGCTACAGCTGTACAGAGCCCTATTTCTGGGTCTATTGCGCTACAGCTTGCCGGTACTGACTAACACTTGCAAATCTAATACTCATTCATTGGAGAGTTTGCAGGGTCAGGCACTGCGTATCTGCCTAGGACTGCCCCGATGCGCTTCTACTTATGCCACAATCATGCTTGCCAAAGACCATCCGGTCAGGACATATATAGTTGTGGATTGCCTCAGAGCGCACATTCAACATGCTAGCCGTGTCCCCGACCACCACTTGGCCGTTCTACCTTCCGGAAGACCACGTGCTATGTTTTCAGACGTCATAGCCAAGCACCTAAACAGCATTCCATCAGGATATACGCCAGCTGCGAGAACGGCATGCCCTTTGTGGTGCCTCGACCAGCCGCAAGTACGTCTAGAAATTCCGGGAATCAAAAAGAAAAGCAGTCACTCCAGAGTAGCATTGAAGCAAGCAACACTGCTATTATTACATGAGTTGTACTTAGACCGAACGTAGATATACACTGATGGGTCCGTCTCATCCAGCAGCTCATCAGGTGCCGCTGTAATTCCGGCTGCAGAAATGACAATCAAGTTCAAGTTGTCGCATATGACTACATTTACGGCATCAGAGCTTGTTGCTATAAGGGCTACTTTACAATATCTCGTTCAAGAACGTCCAGGAAAATGGGTCATATTCTGTGATTCGAAGGCAGCGCTTCACAGTTTGCAGTCTGCCATGCGTAGGAGGAGCCATGACCAACTGGTACAAGAAATAAGACATTGCCATCATGAAGCTCTAGCACGAGGGCATGATATTATATATCAATGGCTGCCTGGACATATCGGTATTACCGGAAATCAATTAGCCGATGATGCAGCCCGCTCAGCCCATGAAGAAACCGGTGTAGTCCCGATTCCTCTATCAAGGAATGATGCAGCAAAACAACTTTACCTGCTGGCTCGAGATCTCACACGCACGTTCTGGTCGTCTACCAGCTTCCAAAGGTATCAATTTTATGAACTGGATCCTTCGCTCAAGCTAAAGCTACCATCACAACTTTCCCGCTCGGATGCGACACTGTTATGCCGCCTTTGGTTAGGTGTTGCATTCACAAAGGTGTACTCCTTTCGCATTGGTATGGCAGACACTCCTACATGCGACTACTGCGGAGCTGAAGAGACCATCGAACACGTCCTGTGCAGCTGCGCTTGCTACGACACACAGCGATGCCAGCTAAGGATAGTTTTGAATCGACTTGACCCCGGACCATTTTGTGTGCAGAAGATACTAGGACCTTGGGCATCTGCCTCAGTTGCGCAGAAAGCAATTAAAGCACTGCTACTTTACCTTAAGTCAACAAACCT